TCATATGAACAATGCGGCGGAGCCAGTACGGCGGTGGAGGGAAAAAAGGTCGTGAACCCTTCATTTGAAAGTCCATATTAAATATGCTTCCCTTCATATGCCTGCTAGCTACTTATCCATAGATGGGAACATGCGGGTGATGAAAGCCCTGTTTTTACTGCTCAAAATCCCGTCCTATTGAAACGGACACGCAGGAAACGTTAATGTGCGGCGCGCCTGATGCCGCCGTGTGAACTACTGCTGATCATCAAGCTGTTTTTCACTCGCAGCAGCGCTAAATCCCTCCAGGCTTGACATTTTAGTGCTTACCAAACAGAGACTCCAAGCAGACACTTAATATTCTGAATATTTCATGAATTCCTTGATTATTTATTTAAATGACAAACATGTTTTTTTGTACGAAGCATGTTTTGACATTTTTAACCCACTAAACTGCAGGCGTGTTATTCAGCTGTTAGTCTTAACACTTAGGGCTGTTTTCACACCTGAAGTCAGAATTAATCTGGTTCGGGTTGGTTTCACACTGCAGCAGCAAAAGTGCACCAGCACAAGGTACCTTCACGTTCACCACTACTGGTGCCACAACAGACCTTTTCAAACCATCACTGTATAATATCATATATCATTGTGCAATATCATTTATTAAGCTTTAGTTTTACTCCTTACTGTACACTCTTGATAAAGATGGTTCTGCAAGGGTTCTTTAGTAAAGACAGTCGTTCTATTTAGAACCAAAACACTCAAAAGAACCATTTGCATGCTTAAACAGTCCTGTGTATGGTGAAATCATTCTTCAGATTGAAGGAGAGTGTATTGTATATTGTTCTATATAGCACCAAAAAGGGTTCTTCTATTGTTCTAGCTATACTTTCACGTTCACCACTATTGGTGCCAGAAATGGACCTTTTCAAACCATCACTGTATAATATCATATATTAAGCTTTAGTTTTACTCCTTACTGTACACAGAATGTGTATTGTATATGGTTCTACATAGCACCAAAAAGCGTTCTTCTATTGTTCTATCTATACTTTCACGTTCACCACTATTAGTGCCACAACAGACCTTTTTAAACTATCACAGTATAATATCATATATCTTTGTGCAAAATCATATATCAAGCTTTAGTTTTACACCTTACTGTACATTCTTGAAAAAGATAGGGTTCTTTTGTAAAGACAATGGTTCTATATAGGTAATGGTTCTTCAGATTGAAAGACGGTGTGTTGTATTGGTTCTATATAGCACCAAAAGTGTTCCTCTGTTGTTACGATGTGAAGTTTCATGGTGAAATGGTTCTTCAGATTGATGGATAGTGTGTTGTATATTGTTCTATATAGCACCAAAAAGGGTTCTTCTATTGTTCTATCTATACTTTCACATTCACTACTATTAGTGCCAAAAACTGACCTTTTTAAAGTATCACTGTGTATCATTTATCATTCTACGCTTTAGTTTTACTCCTTACTGTACACTCTTGAAAAAAGATGGACCTTCAAGGGTTCTATGGTAAAGACAGTTGTTCTACTGAGAACCAAAAACACTCAAAGAACCATCTGCATGCTTAAACAGTTCTTTGTATGGTGAAATAGTTCTTGAGACTGAAGGAGAATGTGTTGTATATGGTTCTACATAGCACCAAAAAGCGTTCTTCTATTGTTCTAGCTATACTTTCACAGTCACCACTATTAGTGCCACAACAGACCTTTTTAAACTATCACTGTATAATAACATATATCTTTGTGCAAAATCATATATCAAGCTTTAGTTTTTACACCTTACTGTACATTCTTGAAAAAGATGGTTCTTCAAGGGTTCTTTTGTAAAGACAATCGTTCTATATAGGACCAAGAACACTCAAAGAACCATTTGCATGCTTAAATGGTTCTTTGCATGGTGAAATGGTTCTTCAGATTGATGGATAGTGTGTTGTATACTGGTCTATATAGCACCAAAAAGCGTTCTTCTATTGTCCCATCTATACTTTCACATTCACTACTATTAGTGCCAAAAACTGACCTTTTTAAAGTATCACTGTATATCATTTATCATTCTATGTGTTAGTTTTACTCCTTACTGTACACTCTTGAAAAAGATGGTTCTTCAAGGGTTCTTTAGTAAAGACAGTCATTCTATTTAGAACCAAAAACACTCAACAAACCATTTGCATGCGTAATCAGTTCTTTGCATGGTGAAATGGTTCTTCAGATTGATGGAGAATGTGTTGTATATGGTTCTATATAGCACCAAAAAGCGTTCTTCTATTGTTACGATGTAAAGTTTGTTTGGTGAAATGGTTCTTCAGATTGATGGAGAGTGTGTTGTATATTGTTCTATATAGCATCAAAAAGGGTTCTTCTACTGTCATATTTATACTTTCACATTCACCACTAGCAGTGCAGAGAACTGACCTTTTTCAAGTATCGTTGTATATCATTTTATCATTCTATGCTTTTCTCCTTACTGTACACTCTTGAAAAAAGATGGTTCTTCAAGGGTTCTTTAGTAAAGACAGTCATTCTATTTAGAAGGAAAAACACTCAAGAACGATTTGCATGCTTAAACAGTTCTCTGCATGGTGACATGGCTCTTCAGATTGAAGGGGAATGTATTGTATATGGTTCTATATAGCACCAAAAAGGGTTCTTCTATTGTTACCATGTAAACTTTTATGGTAAAATAATTCTTCAGATTGAAGGAGAGTGTATTATAGATGGTTCTATATAGCACCAAAAAGGGTTCTTCTATTATTCTATCTATACTTTCATGCTCACCACTATTAGTGCCAAAAACTGATGTTCAAACTATTGCTGTATAATATATCACTGCAAGCTTTAGTCTTTCTCCTTACTGTAAACTCTTGAAAAAGATGGTTGTTTAAGGGTTCTCTAGTAAAGACAGTCATCCTATTTAGAACCATGAACACTCAAATAACTATTCGCATGCTTAAATGGTTCTTTGCATGGTGAAATGGCTCTTCAGATTGAAGGAGAATGTGTTGTATATGGGTCTTTATAGAGCCTTTTTGAAAAGGGTTCTATACAGCACCAAAAAGGGTTCTTCTATTGTTATGTTACAAGTCTGTAACAATAGCAGAACCCTTTTTGGTGCTATATAGAACCCTTTTCAAAAAGGCTCTATAAAGACCCATATACAGCACATTCTACACCAATCTGAAGAACCCACCATGCAAAGAACCATTTAAGCATGCAAATGGTTCTTTGAGTGTTTATGGTTCTATGTAGAACCATTGTTCCTCATTTACCAACCATTCTTAAGAAGAAATTTCTTCTTAAAACCCACTTACTCAGTTTTGAAGAAGATTCTGATTCACCTGTGTTTTCTTATGTGGGATTTGTTCTCAGGTAAGAACAGAATCTACACACACTCAAGAGCACAACGGTGAGAACCGTTCTGCGCTTTAAGAACACGTCACGAATCTGATGTAGACTTTTTGGGGAAAAATTGGGAAGATATTATTGAACGAGGCCCATTGTTTTTACTAAAGAACCCTAGAAGGACCGTCTTTTTTAAGAGTGTATTCTTCACTGCTTTCACTATTATTTTTTAATCTGGCACACTGGAGGTCCACAAGGCCCACGCTGGAGAGAAAATGGAACATAAATGGGATACTATACTGTATTTACATGGTTGTTGAGCTCCTGTATTTTAGTGTTAGCGTGCAGCTGAACTTGGCACCTGTTTCACTGCTTATGTCTGTTAAGGGGTTTTCTTCGAGGTTTATGCCAGAGGTCGGCAACACTTGGCTGCAGAGCCACATGCGGCCCTTTTACTGCCCTGTTGTGGCTCCACAGCAGAATCAGATTTGTAGGTAAAAATAAAATAATCCTCCTTTACAGTAAAATAAAGCTCTGCTGATCGTTCAACACAGTTTTAACGCTAAACGCTCTTAAATGCTGGAGGTAATTTGATAAACATTGATAATTTGGAGACGAACACACTTATTTGCGTTTATAATCACTCCAGCTGGTTCCCTGATACGTTTAATCTGCAACAAGAAACTGAAACAAGAAACACTAAAACGTCGCGAACTCAGTTTCTCATTCGCCAGCTTCTTGTTTGAATTTTCCCGTTCCACCTTAAATGGTACAGCAGTTACATTCTGGCGCCTCAGGCACCATTTAAGGTGGAATGGGAAAATTCGAACAAGCTGGAGAATGAGAAGCGACTTCAACCTCATAAAGAATCGCATGCTGAGAGACATTTTACAAGAAACTGTTCTACTTTTGTGGAAAAGTTTCCCGCCAGAGATGTGAGAAAAACAGCTATAGCTGAGCTAAAGCTTAAAGCAGAGCAAAGTAAGTCTGTTTTTTCATTTATATTATATTTTTAGTCTATATTAGCACATCAGCACATACTGAGACATATTTACAGCCAAGATGGTAAAATGGACATAAAATGTTGTGGCTCCCAAGGTGGTTTTATTTTTGTTGAAAGGACAAACTGGCTCTTCTTAACATTTGCGTTGCCGACACCTGGTTTATGCTTTAAAATGATTGAAAGGGAGGATCATTTCAAACAATCCTAAAATGAAAACACAAGCAAATTTCTTAAGAATGAGAATGATCAGTATGGTTTCTCGATAAACAAGTTCAGGTGCTGCGTTTGATCCAGATGCTGGGCTGCTGGCACTCTAAGTATAGCACACTTAACAGCTTTGATCTGGAGTCAACCTGAATGTCAATCATGGTGCCATCTGCAAGGGCACGCACACACACACGTGTGCACAAGATCAAGAACAAGGTCGCCTCCTCATCCTCTTTAATCTGGATAAAAATATTACAGCTTCATAGCCGAGAAGGTTTAATCATTGTGATGCACTGTTAAAATGCCTTGCCCCCCCCTCCTGTTGTCTTAAGTAGATTTCCTGATGTTGGGGCTCGAGCAGTAGAGTCTTGTGCATCACGCCTTCCAGTCTGAGCCAAAGTGACATATGTGGCTCTTCACAGTCAAATATTCATGTGACTCGCTCTACGTACCGTAGAAAGAGAGCTTTCCCTGCACAGAGTTCCTCCCTTTCGAGTTTTCAGCGATGCACTCGTACGTGCCCGCGTCCTCCTGCTGGAAGTACGGGATCTCCAGGACGCCGCTGGCCTTCCTCATGTCCACCTTACGAGCGAAGGGCACGCCATCCACCCGCCGCCAGGTTATGGAAGGAGCCGGACTGAGTGAGGAGCGAGAAACGCCACATTAGGCTAAAATGCACAATGCTGCTCATTATGGTGACAGTCATGCATAATGTCATAACACAGCAGTTATAAAGCATCATAACGTAATACTGCTAATACTGTAGTAAAATTCTCTTCCAGTAACGTAATAATGTTTTTGTACATAGTGTGGTTTGGTATTATATTTTATTCTGTTTATTATATTCTAAAATACTATGTGTAAGAATGTGATAATGTAAAGGAATAAAGGAATAACACTAAATCAGCCAAACATTTCTGCCCTTCAGAAAAATCAGGATGTTCCCATCATATTTTTCAGCCACGTTAATTACTGTTGATGTGATTTTGTTAAAATTGTTAATTCAGACCGCTGGGAACGGAGATAGCTTGCTACAATATTTAAAATTTCATTATTAAGGTAGTTTTAACCTACATTTAATTTTGAGTATGCAGTAAAATTGAGGCTAAATAATATTTTATGTTCAAATAAGATTAGATTAGATTAGATTAGATAAGATTCCACTTTATTGTCATTGTGCATAGTGCAGGTACAGAGCCAATGAAATGCAGTTAGCATCTACGCAGATGTGCAAAATACAGTATTATTTACATATAAAGTGCAGAAGGAAGGTATATAGTGGTAAAAAATGTAGATATGCAAGTATCAATATAATATACATATATACAGAGTGAGTAGAGAGCGTACAGTGAGTTAGGATGTCCTGTGAGAGCAGCGTATCGCTGCTGTCGGAAGAAAACCTCGTATCTCCACTTTTGTCGTTTTTCAGTTTTTGACATAATTTCAAAATGACTATCACCCTTTATATTGTGTGTAAATCTTATGAAGAATGGACCAAAAGAAACGTCTCAAAATGACTTTGAAAAATTCTGGTTCCATTGACTTACATTAAAAGTAAAGTAGGTTTTTTCCTTCTCCTGTAAAGTTACCATTTTGGAGATACGAGGTTTTCTTCCGACAACAGTAAAAGATAAGCATGCAGAAAAAACTTGTACAATAATTGTTGGTGCAAATATGAATAGTGCAGTAACTGTAAAAAAAAAACTCTTAAAGTGTTTTTAGAAAATGAATTATTTAATTTTTTATGTCAAAAAATGATGTAATAAAGAAATAAGACATACATAACATGATTGAGTGTTATTTCATCATGCTATGATATTAATCTTTCTTAATATTTATTTTATTCCTTTGCTACTCAATTTATACTGTCAAATCAGCATAAAATGTAACACCTTAATACACTATACTGTGACACACTATGCATAAGAATGCTATTATATTATTGAATGTGTACTTTAACATTATTAGCAGTTTAAGCTTGCAATCCATTTCACGTTTGTGTTTGTAAATGAAGAGGAGTGACTCTGTCCATGGGGGTCCTGACCACTGAAGAACAGGGTAAAAGGGGGCTAACAAAGTATCAGAGAAACAGATGGACTACAGTCTGTAACTGTAGAACTACAAAGTGCACCTATATAGTAAGTGGAGCTGATAAAATGGACAATGAGTGCAGAAACAAGGTTCGGTCTAAGATATATATGAAATATACACTCATTGATTGTATATATGATATATATGATATTGACATTTATTGGTTGGAACATGCAGCCACTGTTGCTCTCACTGGATGTTGGTGACTGGAAATTGGAAACTGTTTTCACTCTGTGGAAATCACACGATGTTTATGTATCGGTTCTGCGTGACAAATAATGTTACTGAATTATAAAAACTACTGAATAAATTCTGTTAAAGCTTTTTTTTGGTTGAGCAAATGAGACAAATGCAACTAATCATCATTACTGTTACATTTAAATAGTGTAGCAAAAAGAAAGTAACCCAACTTCTACGAGTTAAATTCTCAAAACTACAAAACAGGTCAATCTCATAAAAAATGACTGCATTTAATTCATTTTAAAGCAAGAAATCATCAATATCTCTCTCATACACTTACTTGCCCAAAGCAAAGCACTCCAGTTTCACCGTCGATCCTTTCGCCACCTGGACCACCTCTGGAAACTGCACTTCAATCTTTGGTTCATATTCCCCCATAACACCTGAGGAGAGATGCTTTCAATTAATTACACCTCACCCTCTGTGTACGTATCGAAATGTAGGTTTGATGGTTTTATTACTTTCCTGAAACATATCACGCTGTCAGCCGAGCGTTTGATGTTTGTCATCCGTTTCACTTTATGATTTTTCAAAGGTCACTCTGTTTAGAGGTCCTGTGGACAGGAGGCTTGTGTGCCGTCTGTCTCTCTGATTATGTGAGGCTTATGTTATCTGTGTAGCCGCTGTGCTGTGTGAGAGGGACTATAAAGAGATTCTTATCTCTTTACATGTAACACAGCACGCTCTTATCAATCCTACTAAACGGAGCAGAGCCACTGAGTCTTTTCTGCCTGCCTTTGACTTAAAATGTGTCAAAATTTCATGACAATTGGTGTCAACAGAAATGCTCCAAATTTAATTGGAAAAACACTCATTACATCGACTTACATTGAGCATAAAGAACAATTATTTGGAGTGTTTTTTTTGGACATTTTGTTAAATGGTAAAAAGATACAAGGAAGAGAAAATTGCATAGAGAAATGAAACATAACTCATTTTACAATGTCCCAATCCAGTTGTTCTGGTCCCAATCTGTCCAAATACTTTAGCACATGAACACGAAAGAAAGAAAGCAGCTCATTTTCGCTGCTGGTAACAGCAAAAAACATTTTAGCAATTTCAGCTTGTAGAATTAGAGATTTCTGTATGCTAATGTGTTTCCTATCACAGTATAAAAGATGCATAAGGCTTCCTTTAAGCTTCAGTAAGAGTTTATTTTTGATTTGTTGAAGTAGATTAAATGATAAAACATGTTTGATATGTAAAAAGGTAGTTTCTAGCAAACTGAATAAAAATATCTGGATGTTTGAGATCATGTTCTTTAAATAGAACAGCATACAGAAATTGTGCTATTAACAGAAAAGAGTTGATAAAATAACAAAAAGACACTTTATTTTGTCCATCAGCCCCAAACTGTTAAGTAAACTGTTATCAGCTGATACTGATACAGATCTTTGTGTTTTTTAGGTAATATGTTGGTCTGCTAATTAACACTACAGTAAAAATTACTTATGACATTCTTGACTGATATGTTTTGCTTTTCAGCACTTTTTAAATTTAATTTTGTAGTGTGTTTAATAGTGACTTCAATCAAAATGGACTGAAACCACTTCAAGTTTGACATGTGCATGGCGGTTTTAGTTCAGAAGGACAGTAAAGCGGAACGTTTCAGTGATAGTTTCATTTTCAGCCAGTCGTGAGTGAAATATGTGGTGGTAGTGTATTCTGGCAGCGGTAAAATAGACTCGAAGCCTAAAACAGTGGCGCTGCAAATATCACAGGTTTTCATTTGTGAAATAGTTCCACACTGCAGATGCTTAGATGTCTTTATTATCTTCTGAAAAAAGCTCCTCACTGCTGCAGGTTATGAATATAGTCACAAACAAAAGTTCAGAACTGAATCGGCCTTAACCCACACTCCATCCATTAAAACGTCTGGATCGAGTCATTTGGATTGTATTGGGACATCCACACAAGCAATACAATGCAAGTACCTGGCTTCTGTAGTGAAGACTACACTGTTGAACTTTCTTATAACACGGCAAAAAATGATATCTTGTCAAGTAAAATAATCTTAAGTCTAGTCACTAAATCTAATTTTGAGATGGTTGTGCACTTATTGTAAGATTATCAAGCTTATTTCCAGACATCATTTACTTGTTTTAGGTAATTTTATCAAGTAAATTAATTTCACTATACTTGTAGATAATTTTGCTGGTTTCAAGCACATTTCTTAAAACAAGCAACATTATCTGCCACTATAATGAGATAATTTTACTTAATTAAATGACTTAAAACAAGTAAATAAATCACAAATTAAGCTTACAACAATCTCGACAGGTGAAATATAAAATTTATTGGCTATATTTAAATAACATTACTTGAAAAATACCATTTTTGCAGTGAATAAAGTCTGATATCTCTTCAATCCTGCTACTTTCATTAGAGTTTATGGCATTCCACCAGACAAATTAGATTCTGCTTGGTTCTGATCTGTTCTGATATTTGAACATTCGTTTTTATAACCCATGGTGAACTTGGTTAATCTCAGTTGTAAATCTGCTGCACGGGAAGCCCACAATTAGATCAGCGCAGGACAAATGACCTTTCCATTTGAGGACCTTTGATAATGCCAGCCTACAGGCAACAAAACAAGTGCTAGTAGGCCATCTTAAAATTTGCAAAGAAACCACTCATTAACCTTTGGATATCATTTGTATTCCTTGAAATGTGGAAAAAATCAAGGGAACCCACTTTGCTTTATTTAATTCTGAGATTTTTTTCTAATTTATTTTATCCATAACTTCAATGAAAGGGAATTATGATGAACTGGGTTTGGTGTGTCACTCATACATCAAAGATTGTCACTCTGAAAATACAAGATGAACAAAGGTAAGCTCCATCACATGAGTCTCACCGTCAGTGCGCAGTATGAGTGGAGTGGGCGGGCCGTGGACACGGGTTTTGGTCACCGTGTTGGTCACGACGCACGTGTAGTTTCCCACATCAGACGGCTCCACCTTGGCAATGTAGAGATTCCCAGTCTCCTGAGACACGAACCTGCGCACGTCCTGCTTCACGAACGACGGGTACTCATTAAAAATCCAGCTGAACGTCAACGCTGTCGGGAGAAAAGAGGGATTGGGGGAGGGGAAAAAAAAAGAACAAAAAGTGGCACTTAACATGAATCATAAAAGAGAAAGAGGTCATTCTGCAGCTTGGAAACTTTGCATGAACATAAGCAGAGTATGTCGTGACATTTCTCCTCTCCACTGAATCTAAATGGCAGGAGTCAGCGGCGCTCATGAATCTTCTGCTTTCCCCAGAGTTGCTAAATTAGCATTGGGGCTACATGCTAGGGTGAAAATTAATCAGGCTGCGGAGAGTTGTGGGGCTCGGAGGGTGAAAATTAATGACAGAAAAGGATAAGCAGTGTCCTGCGATTATTTGGCCTCCAGTCAAGGGGACAGCACGACTACCTGAGCAGTGCTTAAATGGTACAAAAGGATGATTTTTAACCAAAAGGACAAAAGATCTTGTATTTTTTCCCTTAAGACGGGTATTTGAACAGTAAAAAATATGCAATCATAATACAGAATAACCAGGACACTACTGAAAAAGGCATACAGGAAAGAGAAGGAGTATCAATCCATTATATCTAAACATTATATTCCAACAGGGCATGCATGATGATATAGGAATCATACTGATATTGGCAGAGAACACCCCTCAAATCAGAGTCCCTTATTTAGGTACAACATGCCTGTCTGCTAGTGAATACTACAGTAGAATCAGTTCTTACGCATAATGTGACGTTCTAGATTGATCTGTTTTGATTTTTGGCTTGTTTATGACCATTTTATGACAGATTGATTTACCTCCCTGATGATTTGGGTAACAGTTGCTTTCATATTTTGCAGTGAAACCACTTCAATTTTGATAGGCAAAATGGTACATACTCCTAATTTATATTTTTAGCGTTTATTTTGTGGAATTTTTATATGAAATGTCCATTTTACAGTGTTGTGAATATGCTGAGAGTTCACACTGCTCTAATGCACACAGTAGCTGCTTCTTTTAGTTTTAAAGGCACTGTTAAACACCAGTCCAAAACCAGAAATGGTGTGCTGGTGAAGAAGAACATTTCCATATTAGTTTCATTTTCAACCGTTAATGACTCGCGAGTGAAAACGTGCTTATGGTGGTATTTCATTAGCAGCAATCAGCAAAAACTAGACTGGCATTTGCATTTTAAAAATAGGCCCTTTTCACAAGAAACAGAAGTGTGTCAACGCTGGGTACAACAAGTTTCACTATTGCCTAACGGACAGTTAGTAACCTCAGACGTCCGTATCATGTCAGCTCACCACAGAGAGATGTCTCACTTCATTTTTGTCATAGTTGCCAAGATTGGAATTCAAGGATGTGTCCAGAATGGTTGGAGAACCAAAAACACCACAATGCAGGAGCCAAAACTAAAAATAGGATATAAATGATTTGTGGAAATATTCCTTCACAGCTATCAGAGTACAGTAACCTCAGCAAACATCTATAGAGAAATAAATCAATGGGGTGAAAATAATTATAACCAAAATGCTAGATTAGCCATGTTAGCTGGAGATGTTGAAACAGCTCATTATCAATAAACTAGTTGGTAAAAAGCTAAGCACGCACACATGCCAGCAGGGGGCGTGCCGGGTCGTCATGGTCTGGAGCGCCACTGTAGACATTTTACACAAACACCAGCTCCAGTGAACGAACATCTGCTCCCCACTGAGCACTCGCTACTCAGATACTGACAGCTTTGGAAGGAGAAATTGAAAACTGTTCCTCTGAAAGTGGCTGAAGCAGCAACTTTTTATTTTTATTTTATTAGTTTATTCCTTTGTTAATTGCGTAAACCCATGTTCCTCTGCTCATTGTCAGCTGACACACCACTGAAACCGATATGAGGCTGTTTTTGCTTTAAGCTTGAACACTAGAGTGAGCTGCACACGCTCTACTCATCATCGTTGTTGTTGCTTTAGCGGAAGCAGCGTTCCCCTGCAACAAGAACTTCCAGCAGAAAAAATATGGACATGTGAAAAGGGTTTATTGTCCATGTCTGGGTAAAACGTGGCTCAAACACGGCAGAAATGCTGGATCTGCAGATATTACAGATTTTTATATTCCATTAATGCTTAATACTTAATGATGAATAGAGCTGAGTAGAGATGAGTATTATAATAACTGTGAAAGCTGTACTCATCAAAAATGAGCTCATAATAAAATCAATATTAAGAATGCCTCATATTCAAAAAGCAGTGATCATATCTTGCTATTTGAGTTATCTCAACTATTCATAATAATTTCTTGATGAGAAATTACTTTAAACAAATAACTACAATTCATTATATAATAAGATTTGTTTTCTTACAACGTCACACTTTCTTGTCCCCAAACAATTTAAATTGTGAACAAACCATTGTTTTGAATTTTGGTGTGTAGTTTAACATTTTAGTCTAGTTTTTACTGAATAGTGTTTATTAATAAAAATGTGATTCCAAACTTCAGAACGGTACTGAAAAATATTGCACATGACCATCAACCCACACATCTCATATCAATACCAACCAAGAGAATAACAGTATTTTCAATCTGTAATCCGGGAAAGTAACACAATATCTAAGAAGGTCTTTGAGTCATATCAAAATATTCTGCATAAATTGCTGAAAAAATCAAATTAATGTCAAAACAATGTATAAACATCATCCAGCAGAAGCAGCCCAGCGTTCACTCTGAGTAAAATGCTAGTTAACATTTCATTCTTGTTGACCTGGAGTTGGCTCTCTCCGTAGCCGCTCTCCAACAACAAATGTCAGCATACACTTAATGTCATATCCGCGAGTCGAAGGTCACCCTACCAGAATGCAGCGCAGTCAGAGATGTGACCTTTGGGAGTTACAATTGGTTTGCTTTTTGCTGATTCAATTGCCTGCTATGGCCGTCAGTCTCGGTTCTGCAGGCAGGAGCAAAGAAAATGAAAATCTTTCACTCCTTATATCAGCGCATGATTCAGAATGACAAAGACGCTACATCAGAATCCCTGTTTCTCACTTTCCTCTGATAGGATTGCGCCTCTAACTGAGTCACCACGAAGTCTGAGTAGATTCTCCAGTCGTCGCGGCTGAAGTCGAGTCTGAGTCACTGGAGCTCCAGTACAAATTCAGTTCAGAATTATGAAACTGCAGCAATTTTGATGTAAACAGAGCGCGATGGAAAAATAAAATTTAATTGGCCTTTTTAGGCTTCTCTCAATTTTTTTTGAGTACTTTCAAACAGTCGAGAGGCCAGTGTTTCAGAGAACACTGGCCAAAGTTCTAGCTATTAACTGGATAAGCATGAGGTACAAACTCCAAAGTACTAGATGACATTATGGTGAATTTCCAGTCACTCCAATTAAATAACACTGAAATGTCTAACAAGTTCTAGATATTAACTGGATAAGTGTGAGGCACAAACTGCAAAGTACTAGATAAATGTTTTGGTTAACATAATGGTGAATTTCAAGTCAGTCTCACTAAAATACATTGAAAAGTTGAACAAGTTCTAGATATTATCTGGATAAGTATGTGGTACAAACTCCAAAGTATTAGATAAATATTTTGGGTAACATGATAGTGAGTTTCAAGTCAGTCTAAATAAATTACCCTAATGCCAAATAAGTTCTAGATATTAACTGGACAAGTATGAGGTACGAACTCCAAAGTACTAGATGTTTTAGGTAACATAATGGTGAGTTTTAAGTTAGTCTAACTAAATTATACTGAAATAGACAATATGTTCTAGATATTAACTGAATAAGTGTGAGGTACAGACTCCAAAGTACTAGATAAATCTTTTGTAATGCACTCAATGTGACCTTTCATATGCAAACAAAATATTTTGACCATTTCTACAGTTTCTCATTAGATAAAATGGAATTTTAACCACTGTTCTGTAAAGCTTGTATAACCTAGCAGCAGTATCTATGAAAGAATGCATTTGTGGGCGGAGCATAGAGAGGTCAGTTGTATCTACAATATAATTTTCTACTTAAATATAGCAAGTCCATTAAGAATTCATTATCATAATATGCCTGACAAACAGGAATCTACTGCATACACGTCAAAATGAAAGAATTAAATACTAATAATATATAATTACTTTCCATTTCCAGGCAATTAGGATTCACCCTAATGGAAATTTGGTACTATTTCTTGCAGAAACCTCCAGAAACCAGCCCTGGATGCAACTGAGTAACACACATGCAGTGGTTTACACATCATGAACACGAAAGTTCCAGAGAAATAACGATTAGCAGATCAGTGTGAAAAGGAACGCTGCGTTTACTCTTTAAAAAAAGACTCGTGGGTGAAAAAGTGCTCTCTCACTGTTGTTTTGAACTAAGCCCTTATGAAAGCTTCCCTAAAATGGGTTGACTACGCAAGTGTCCCTCTGGCGGCAGCCTGTGCGTCCATATAGTATCATCTCTCCTGTATTTCCATCCTTCTATTCCCCGCAGACCTTTAAAGAATAAAAAGAGGAGTCAGCAGTCCCACAGAGACACTCAGGAAGACACAACAACACAGCCCGCTACTCTTTGAAGGTGTTTGCTGTCTATAAAGCTCCGCTCAGGAATTTAAGCTGAGCACAGAGTGATAATGCGACACCAGTGTAAAAAACAGGAAATACGCCGAGGAACAAACAGATCCCTCGGATATTCTTAATGCAGCTGAGTGAATCCTGAGGCCACTTTCCGCAGCTCAGATTGCTGCGTTCACGTCCAGGCCAGAGCTGTGACCTCGCCAGCCACCGCTCTATTTTCACGTCCCAGAAATTCAGACTCGCTGCCAGACTAGTAATACGCTATGCACGCGAACTGTATGAACACAATGCTTAGAAAATGCCTGACATTTCCCCCGAGGACTACAATTTACAGTCTGATAAAAAGAACATCGCCAACTTTCACTTTATTTTACCCCATGGAGTTAATCCTCAGTCAAAATAGAGGACATTTCTGGTTGGTGATCTACTCATCTGCATCCATAACATGATCTCCCAAAGCTGTTGTTGCATTTATTTGATCTAAAGCCAAACATT